AAGAGCGGTCAGAATTGTGAATTCACTTCCAGCCCATCTGAGCGATACCGGCACCATGGGAGGAAAGGGGGCAGCTGGAGCCAGAGAAGCATTATGGGGTCAGCAAAACCAAGCAGCATCTCGACCGCCTCGCACCCAGCATTGCTTTATTAGCATCAGAGTCATACGTGAGGCCAGGTTTAGGTCCCTCTCCTTTGGCTTTCCCCCCGTGCTGGGAAACAGCCTCCACCAACAGCAGCACCGTCGACACATTGAAGGTTTTGTTCAACTGCACCCTTGTACGGCTCCATCCCCTTGGTCCGCCAGGCTGAGCTATACCGCTCGCACGGTGCTCTTGCATCTGCACAGACTCAGTCCCCACTAGCTTTCCCTTCAGTCTAGGGGGTTAAGGGATGATACGAAACAAGTTGCCATGTGGCCAGTTACATCTGGAGGGACTGCAAAGACAACGGGTTCATTCCCACTGCAGCTTTTAGGGCCCCAGTTTAACCCAAGTCAATGGGCACATGCTCAACAGGCCTGCTAGCCCTCAGCGTAGCCGTGAAGAAGCAGGCTCTGTGCTCGGATAAGACTGAAGAGGAGGGAACGGCCCATATGGCCAATGCTGTTGGCTAACACAGCAGGTAGTGCAGCGTGGGCTGCCACCCCCATCTCAGCCCAGTGCAGCGCGTGGCTAGACAATGGCTTGTGCTCAAATGGGAGCGCTTGCACACAGCCGACACGTGACAAATGGCAGCAGCCCCAGCGGGCGGCATTGCCCCGAGCCAACGGCGACGCAATAAGATAAATATTTCCCTTTTATCATGGGACTCTGCTGCTCCCCTCATGACTCGATCAGAGCACCGACAAGGGCTGTGCTTGGCAAGGCTCCCTGGCCACACGTGAACAGCCCCGACTTGCTGCACATAGCTGGAGAGCTGCCACCTGTAAGTCTCTTATCAGGGGGGAGCTAGTAGGGCAAGTAGAGTGGCATTTACTGTATATGCTCCATTTGCCAAGCCTGGCCTCCTCCCAAGGTGGTTTGCTGACTGTCCTCTGCTGAGAGGCCTCTGTTGTTCGCTAAATTAAGTTGTTAAGGGCCACACACCAAAGGGGAATAAGGAGCATTCTGCATCCATGGTCACCTACTCTTGCAGAGAAAGTAAGTTGGCTGTATCTCTTACTAGTGGCCACCCCCAAAACCTGACTTTAATACAATAGGGAACAAGTGAACAATACCTCCAGATCACTTGTAATCCACCTCCATGTTCCTTGGGCTGCCTTAGCTAAGGCTTCCTACAATCCTTCAATCTGCTGTCTGCTGAGTCCTGGCAGGGGAGGGGGAATTTGCAAGAAAATAAATCCCTGCGCCAGGTGAAGGAGGGAGAGCAACCGAAATGCCTTGTCAGGGGAGCCGAGACCAAAGGTGCACATGCAAGAGGGAGGCTGAGGGTGCATCTAGCAGGCAGCAGAGGAGCAAGGAGGTCTGGATGCTGCAAGCGGGCAGTCCTCGCTTGCCTTGGCAGCCTCCTCAGCTGCTGTGTGCAGGCACGGGACTAATCTGAACTGCAGCGCCAGGCAGGCACCGTATGGGCACATGCTAGGCACTGTACAAACATACAGCAAAAACAGGACTTACCTTGAAAAAAATCACTGGTTTGTTGCCCCACAGTCCTTCCCTGCCCATGGTATGGTTACAGCTAGCCCACTCCTCACTGACTACAGGGAAGTTTTGGAAGAGCAGGGGGGGGGATGAAATGAGCCATATGAGGAGTTGAAGGCAGCACAATAAAGCCACAGCCCTGTCAAGTGCTGCAAAGGCCTTACCTAGCTTGATTAAAGGACCCTAGCTGGTGGCATAGTGCATTTAATCACTGTAGTTCTTGCAGCCTCTGAGACTTGACTTTTAACTAAGGGGAAGTTAGTTTGAAATGCAAGAACAGGTCCGAAGTGGGGGCTAGCTGAGAAGCACAGTGGAGTTGCACTAAGATTTAATGGTGCTTATAGCTGTGACCCAGGATTGGGCTTCCACACCGAGGACTTGCTTCAGGCCGCATGGCTCATTTAGGACTGTATTTTTTCTCCAAGACTGATCAGCACCACATGTTCCACATAGAAACATACTTTCTCGGGAGAAGCTCTTTGCATGGAGGAGATTTAGACAGCTCCGGTCACTGGTGAGTTTTACAGGGTCAACACCAGCTTCTCTGCGACAGGACTTGCAGGCAGCTCAGTTCGGTGTCCATCCCACACCGGAGAGAGTGCAAAGCTCATTGCTGATACATTATGAGAAGGCAGCACCCTCTAGTGACAATATATAGGCAGTCGCTGGCAGAACACCATTCCCAGCTGCATGACAACGTTGCACATCCTCCTCTCTCCTACCCATAGCACTGCGTACAGATTTCTGCTCTTCTCTGCTGCAACACCCCAGCAAGCAGCCAATTCAGTTTTAAAGGCCTATGGATTACTCTTCATATGTGAGTATGAGCAGTGCAGCCTCTTTCCAACATGCGCACACAGCAGGCTATCTTAGTAATACTCAGCAGCTGGTCAAGTCCCTGTGACAATGGAAGACCTTTCTTCTTTGCGCATGTAGCGGGCGTTTCTCCGAAACCCCTCTCACTACCCTGCTATCTAAGACACATCCTCTGTGTCCAGAAACTTCACAGGGAAGGAAGAGGGTCAGGGCCTTGGCTGGATCCTGGGAGCTGAGCCAAGAAGACCTGAAGTTGTGGGCCTTCTACACAAGCAAACTCCATAGGTGAAGTCAGCAGCAAGCTGTCGTAGATGACAGATATAGTCCAAGGACCCAAAACTGCTCTTTCTCCTTTGACAGGCACATGGCCATAAAAGCCACATTGTGCTGTCTCCATTCATTGCTCTGGGCAGAGCTCTCAGCCGTTTCCAAAGTGAATCCCATTATCAGGGCATGAATTAGGATCTACCCCAAGACCCCTCTCACTAGCCTGAAACTCATTTGTGTCCCTTCCTCCAAGATCCTGCAAGCCAGGATTGCGGGAGCCCGAGCACATTTTTGATGGTTGACTACTTGTTTTTGGCTGGAACTACACAACAGATCTGGGTTGGCGAGGTGCAGCCCTCGTGCTCCTGGCAGGCTTATAAGGCAGCCGTAGATATGAAAGTGGGCAACTGTGCTTTTCAGGACAATTAAAACATTAAGAATTATGGTCCAATTGTTGGGCCACAAGCCTTTGACTTCGGAGACCCATGTTCAGGTCCCGCGTGACATTGGTAAGGTCACTGGTTTCTCTGTTACTTACCTATGAAGTAGGAAGATGCCTCATCTCAAAGGGGTATTACAAGGTTAACTACATTAAAGAACATAAAGTGCTCCAATACAACAGTAATAAGAGCTGGATCTAAGACCAGAAAGCTTTAAGCTTTTAAGAAGCTTTTGGAGATGGGTCCTCCACTCACTATGTAATAGTCTCAGTTATTTCCAGATGCAAGTCATTTGCTGTGATGGTACGAGTGCTGATTTCTTAGGAAAAAAAAAGAAAAGAGTCACAGCAATACAAGCAGAATCTGCAAATTCAACATAATTTATTGCTTCCATTTCAAGGAATGATAGTGGTATTTGTAAAAACAAAAGTATCCCAATTATAGTAGGAGAAATGACACACATGAGTACAAGACTCGGAACACAGGAAACCCTTAGAGGAAAGTGGCTAGTGGTAACAACTTGGTCACTGCTCAGAAAATCCCCTTCCAGTCTCCCCCTACCCCAAATCCAGTGGTCACTCCTTTGTCAGCCACGTCTCACAGGTGTTCCACAACAGGCAGCTCTACAGAGTTACTCATCCAGACAGTAGCAAGACTATGCACTGGAGATGCAGTCTGTCAAGCAAGACATACAGTAGATGACAGGAAGAGACAGAACGGGAAATACGCAGGTGGGAAACGCGACAGAGGAAGAGGAGGGAGAGTGGTATAGATCACTCACAGACACTGGAGTCCGTAAATTTGCATGGGTCAAAAAGGGTGCAGGTGTGTAAAAGTGATCCCTCCACCTACCTGCTCCAGCTCCCGGGAAGCAGGGAACAGAACCTCTAGTGACTTGGGGCCAGACTGGGTGGCCTCAACTGGCTTCATTTTATGTTGAGGTGTAGGATCAGGGCTCCAGGAAAGATGCCAAAGCAGCCTGCTAAGTGTAGGTGAATACTTCCAACTTCTGTCCCAGCAGCTTTTCCTGCCCTTTTTACTCCTAAAGGCCACGTATATGCTTATGTAAATGGGCAGCAGCATTGAAGCTCCCTCCCTCATGCATACGGTGCCACTTGGAACCAAAGTTATGTTACAGCCACAAGGAGAAAGACAGCTAAAAACAGATGTAGCAGGAAAGGCAGCTGCATCTATTTTCACCCGTCTCAGTGCTCAGGCACACAGTGGAGCTTGCTCATATGGCACCTATTTCCTTGGCACAACATGCTTTGAAAGAGGGAAACCTAAATATTTGCCTCCTCCTGAAGCAATGGTTAACAGGCATGAACCTCAATGGTTAACAGGCATAAGCTGAATTAGACCAGACATGGCAAGTTTGGTCTAGCCATGACAAGGCAGTAAAGATTTCAGGAAGAAGGAAGGTAGGTGCAAAAATATTAAAGCATGCAAAGGGCTGAGCCTGCACATACAATGGATTCTCTAGATGAGAAAAGGCTAAAACTCGAGCATCCCTAATGCCCTATAGACCTTGTGCACAGGAGCATACTCGAACCAGGCTCCAGGGGATCCCCATACCGTTGGGGCTTCAGTATACAAGCACATTCAGTGGAAGGCACCACAGCAATCTGGAGACCAACTCCATGTCCTGGCTCTGTTGAAAGCCAGTCCACCTAAAAAAAAAAAGCACTTGAAGCAACTGAAGAAGTCGAGTGAGTACCACCTCCACAACCTGGCAGGGGAGAGGAAGTGTGAGGTGGATGCATCACAAAGCCTTCTTCCCTCCTCCAAGCTGACTGAGAACGAGAATATTTCCATTTAGTAGCAAAGTTATAGAAATTACTGTAGAAAACTAATTATCTAGAACATCTGTAAAAATATTCCTGCAATCTCCATTTTACATTGAAAACTCATTAAAAATATATATATATATTTTAATGAAATGTCTCTGGACTGCCTTGAAGAGCATCTCTGTTGCAATCGTGGGCATCTGTAGTCCTGGAAGTGACTAGGTGAGGGCAGGAAGGTCTGGATCTCAGTGGCACATCCGTGAAGTCATTTCCTTCTGTCAAGGGAAATGGGAAGTAAGTGTCACAATACCGGTAACCCAAGAGAGGGAGATTTCAGTAAGAGAGTCAAGGTTGAGGTTTCTAAGACGATATTAAAACAGGAAGCATCCAAACTGGAATGCTTATGACAGGCAACAGTGCACCATGTCATCTTTACCTCTGCTTCCACATCCCCAACCAGTACCAGGCAGGACACCCGGATGCCATACAGCAAAAATCTCCTTTGCTTGATACAGTGCATCAATCAGCACCCACCACCCCATTCTAATAATTAGTACTTGTCAGCCTGCCAGCTCTTTCTGACGGTAGAAAGCACTCATTTTACACAAGGAGAAATAAAAGTGTGGGGAGAAGAGATTGACTCTGCAAGAGTCACAGAGCAAGGCTGTAACAGCTGGGGAACGGACCCTGAGCTCCTGAGCAGCGTTCGGGCTACAGGGCCAAAGGCACCAGGGCAGACTGTTGGGAAGTCACATCAAGTCTGTAAGCACGGGATGCGTAGCTCCTTACGGCCAGTGCATCCAGACTGAAGAACAGCAGATGCATGCAACAGTCACTGATTGACTAAGGGAAGTGGCGCCCGGGGAGGCAGCAGGAGGGTGAAGGAAATGAAGTAGACACCATCCACAGACAAGCTGGCAGCCCAAAGCATTAGGGGGCTGCTGGGCACAGCTCGCACAACACATCAACTCCCCTCTCCACGCATGCAATGGCTCTGCTCAGTCACATGGGGTACGCTGGGGTCTGCGACCCGTGGACAAGACCAAGGCAAAGAGGAACCCGTGATGCACCAGGGAAGGGAATGGAGCAGGTATAGTGGGAGTATCAGCTGCCCTCTTCAGGGCTCTCTCTCATTGCTTGGGCCTTGCAAACTGGCAATCAGGGGAGGGGGAGCTCACATGCCAGAGTGCCACTGAGACGAATGGCAGACTCCATCATCTTTGCATTCGCTCACCAGTGGTTCCAACTCCTTGGTGTCTATTAGGTTGAATTCTTTCACAAAATAGTAAAAGTGCTTGTAGCAGGTGTTCACGTGGGCTTCTGACCCCATCTGGGTGATCCTGTCGAAGTGGTGAATGTAAACGTGGACGAAGACCCGGAAGAGCCTGGAGAGAATCTTCTTCACCACCTGAAGGAAGTTCTTGGGGAACGGAGTACCTGCGAGGAGACATGTGGGCATTAGAGGCTGCCGAAGCAGCGCCAGAGATACGGTACAGTGCCCTCTTCCTCAAGCACCAACAGAAGCCCAGGCCATTTTGAACAGACAGAAAGGTTTCATCCAGAATAAATTTACCGAGTGACTGACCTCCCTCCCTCCTAGCACTGGGTCAACGTTTCAAAAACCTCATTTCCTGCACAGTTAAAAAAAAGTATGTTCTGTTCTGTCACTTCTTGGCACGTTGCAATTAAGGCCGTTAGAAGGAAAGACAACTGTAGTGCATGAAACCCGTAACAGAACAACGCTTGGCCATTTGGTCTTTACAAAACCAGACTCCATTTTAAAACTGGACACAGATTGCGGGGAAAAAACACAGACGGGGATTAAAAATAGTACACATCTCTTTCTCTAGCTAAGTGGCTCTTTGTTCACAAGTGCTCTGTATGAAGTGGCGCATTTCCAACCAGGCCACAGCGGTGCAGAAAAGGCTTGCAGTGCAACGTCCAAGAGTTTGACATCTCTGATGCTATAAGCTTTCCCCGCAACCCTGGATGAAAACAGACTGCTGGTACGGGGTGTCACCAATCCAGCTCAGAAGAAATCCTCCCTGACAGACCCAGAGCTTTGTTACGACACCAGGCATTTAAACAGCAGAAGGTTGTGAAAGATTTGTTTTTCTCCCGTATTTCACAGCTTCTCTCTCTCTCCTGACACAGCCTTGCATCATGCTGACTGTCCAGAGCTCTGCCCAAGAGATCATCCAAGAGCACTGCAGAGTGCAAGGAGGCCAACTTTCTACCGGAGATCGAGCAAGCAGCCTCTGGTGTGCTGCCCCTTCCCCTGCCAAGGCAAGTGAGAACTAAATTGAACTAATCCAAGACACTGGCCTTTTGCATTCAATTGCACTTGTCTAGTCAGACCTGGACCAGAGCTAAAACGCTGCTGAGAGAGTTTTAAAACAGTCCAAAATTTCAGCTGCTACAGAAGCTGGAAGAGCAGCTTTCACTGGCACAACATAAGCTCGTTTCAGATGCACACAGGCACGAAGCATTAGGCCAGTATCTTAAAGCCCGTGTTCAGAGGCAAGCATCCACATCCCGACTTCACTGGGAATTGCGGTCTCTGGAACTGAGCCATGTGTTGAAGTGCTCACCCTTGGGTACAAAGGTCCAAGCTCAGGTGCCCAACCCGCATTTCTACTGCCCTGGCAGTGTGGAGTGGGGGTTACTGGACATATCAGTTATATTTATATCTACACAAACAGGCCACAGTAGTACAGAAAAAGCCTTTGTGAGAAAAACAGTGAGAATTAGGCTTTTAGGTTGCTTTCATGCTCTTGATTTTAACCTCTGGGAGATTGAAACTATCAGACCTTGAAATAAATCCCCTTCTTGCCCCCTCCATCATGCCCCTTTCTTGAACTGCTTCAGCCAGTTATAAGTAACCTAGTACAACATCACAGGAAGTCAAAGCAGTCAACCAAGCAGCACCGTGTGCTACAGAATGAATTTAGTTGATGCAGACTTGGATGTGCTGCTCTAGGGAGCAAGAGCATCATTGCTTGGAGCTCAATGCTGAAAACACCCTCCATAACCAATCCCAAAGGCTTCGGGCCATTGGGAAAAGCATCTCCTCTCTTGTTTTACCTGAAGTCAGAAGCAAGAGCAACTCTCAGGGCAGGAACACAATGCTTGCTCTGACATGTTTCTTAGCGCAGGCCACCACACTGCACTGCACTCCTGAATTGTGCTGGAGTAGAAGAGGCAAGCCTGGGTGACTGTGGCAAAGCAGATGGGAAGACGGTCTATGACACTGGCCCCAACTGCTCTTTGACTCCTTGTAGCCCCAGATTTTCCCCCTACCAACCAAACTCAACTCACCAACATTGGTGGGGAAGATATCCTCATTGTTGATCTGCACCTCAATCCAGTCCATCAAGAGGTTCATGTACTGGGGTGCAGACAGGGCGGTGGGTTTCCGGTACTTGTGCTCATCCTGCCATCTGTACTCGTACTTGGGTCCACCAGACATGATGGGGCAGGACTGCTCCGTGCAATAGTCACTGATGGTGCCGTAGATCAGATTGATGCGGTTGAAGAAGTCCACCACGTGCACTGCTACCCAGTCGTTCTGCTCCTCACCAGACGGCAGCTGGACCGCTAGCTTCAAGTCCAGCCCCGCGTTGAGAGAGGCTTGAGCTCTCTTGTGCAGCTCAAACCGCTGAGTCCCGGGCTCAAACTTGCGCTTGGGCCGAAAGGTTCTGTCCTTATTGAACACTTGCTTTAAGGCGTTGGACATTTTTCTTCTCTTCTTTCTCTTCCAAGTCCGCAGTGATGACAGCTGGAGACACACAGCTACTAGACCGTGTCCAGTGACAGTGTTGCAAGGGCTTCTAATCTTCACCAAGATCTCTCTGAGCTCATCTGGTTCCCCAAGGGCCTTCTGATCTGTAACACAAAAAAGAGAATTACAAACAAATGTTAGAGGAGCAGCTGTTTTTTGGGAGCAACACTGTTTGAGCTCATTAGTACTATGGTTCCTCAGTTGTGGTCTACAGACTACTGACGGTGAGCGACACCATCACACCAGACTCTTCCCGCTTTTCAAATACAAGTTTAATCATGAAGGTGCACTGAAGAGGAATCGTAAGGGCCAACAGCGGTGCGTTGGTCCGAAGAGTTTGGGAAGCACTTCTTGAGTAGGAAGATTTAGAAACCACTTTCTCTGCCTCCCCCCCAATCCAAAATTTGAAGATCTGGAATGGATGCTATAGTAGGCCTTCAAGAGGGGCTATGGATCGTTTTATTAAAAGGAAAGTCCTTAAATAGAGAGCAAGGGCAGAGCTCTCAAAGAGGTGGCTGGAGCACAAGGAACGTTTGAGAGCTGGGCCTGCAGGATTCACCCGCAGCGAGGGAAGGTTTGCACCTAAATTGATAAGTTTTTCAAAAACCGGCATCAGGGAGGATGGGCTTCTCACTCGGACGCCAGGACAGCTCTTGTTTTATGAAGTCATTCAGAAACCAGTATGGCTTTTTTTGCTCCTGGATGGAATAAGAAAAATGTCACCCAACCTTCACAAACGTCGGTCAACACGACCGTCTTTGAACGGGCTCGAAACCCAGATGCTAATAACCAAAGAGACACTGGAAGCACCTTATGGTAGGAACAGCCCCATTATGGTCAATGAGACCGCTCCAGTAGGAAGGTGCTACTCTACGTGGGTATTCATATATAGCCCCGTATGGCAGGAGTCCTTATGTGAAATAGGAGTTGTGTGGTTTTGGTATCACACTGCAGGAGCTGCTGACCAGACCATGGACAGGTCAGTTTAAGTCAGCCTGCAAAAGAAACATCCTTGTAGTCCCACGGTGTCCTCAGACATCCAAGCACCCTCTTGGTGGCCAAATGATGGTCTGCGAGGCACTCGAGAGGCAGGAGACAGCCGGTTGCATGGAACAAAGAGGAGGGAGGGATCAGCGCTTGCACGTGTAAAAGTGCCCCGTGTGTTTGGCAGCATTAGGGAGGTTCAAGAATCAGGGCAGATCAGCGTTTGTGTCCTTTATGATGGAGTCTGCGTTGAAAAATTGAAAGCAATTTTCTTTCTAAAACATGGCCAATTGAAAATTGCAGGTTATGACAACCTCTAAAGGCCCAAATTTGCATAATGTATTATTATAGCATGCTAATTAGACAGCTAGTCAAGCGTTACACGTTCGCTTTCAGAGGTCTGGGGGAGGGAAAAAAAGAGAAGTCGAGCACTGAACTGAAGGGAAGTCGCAAGCCCAGCCCAGAACCGGAGCTTGCTGAAGTGATGAAACAGCCGGTGACAGCTACAGCCTCTTCTGCAGGTGCAGAGAGAGTATTTCTTTTTTTCACTTTGATTTAATGCAGCTCAATGACTGCTTCATCCAGAAATTATGAAATGGTTTGAGAGTTTGAAAACAAGCTTTCCTGCCTTTTCTCTCTCCATGCAGGACTAAAACCTAGGCATAAGAGGCAGAGATGGAAACCCTCCAAATTGTTTCTGCTCGCTGCGTGCTTCAATACTCAGTACAATTTATGGTCTACAAAGTTACGGACGCCTTTGTTTAACGTGGCAGGGAGTTTTAAACAGTGTTGCTCATTTTTGACAAGGCTGTTTTTCTGCACTAAATTGAATTCTGGTTTCCACTCATGAACAGCTTGACCAAAGTCGCAATTAAAAACAGGCAGACCAAACGACTCGGTACGTAAGAAACATTGTTAGAAAAAAAATGGTGAGAGCGACAAGTTTATATTGGCCTAGAAAATTGGGGAAATATGCGCTGAATCCTCCTGACCAGCAAAAAGCATCAATTTTAGCCTAAAAGGACTGTAAAACAACAAGTCCTGATGGTCAACAACCCCTAGGAATCAGCATGTCCTTTGGAAAAAGAAGTGAAAGACCAGATGCGCACACAAAATGACAGAGCACATCCACAGAGCCAGGTTTCTTGCTTGCTTATTTAAGTTAACTAACCAATATTTATTGTGTATAATTGCAAAGCAAATCAATCCTACCAAGAATGCATAAGAGACCTCCCTAAATGTTGCTTAACATAAGCATTAGCCTTAGCAGAGCCAGAGGCTTGTTACAGGACTGCACACGGATGTGCACGGGTCCCTAGGACACGCCAGGTTGCAAGAAAAATGTAAGCACGTGAGATTCGGCGAGAGATTCGCTGGGCATCAAGTAAACCAGGCCACGTCCCGAGATGAGACGATGCAAAGCCACGTGACTACCCCAAACTTTGCTTTGGAGAACACGTTTAAGAGAAGTGTCTGGAAGAACCTGGCAGTGTTTTGACTAGTTTAAGCCATAGGAAGAGAAGCAAGTTCAAGATGCGATTAATCACACAGATGAATAGATGTGAAGAGGAAGTAGCATGCATTTAGCAGCGACGCCAGATGCGGAGAGAGGGCAGCTCTGGTTAGCATGAGCGAGTCGCAGCCTCACCACATCCTGCAGCACAACACTTCACTGCGTCTGCAAAGCGGAAACACAAGGGGCTGTGCCCATCCTTTTGCACCCACAGAGTTCTCCCGTAACATGCTTGTAACAAAGGCCGCTCTTGCCTCAAAGTCGGCGCCAGAACAAAGGCCAAGCCTCTGTGACAATGTGGAGGGCAGCTGCCAGGTCTGCAGCAACTTCCAGCAGGAAATCAGCTCCAGAGAAATACTGGCTCACAACTGTTTCCTCACTTTGGAGTCGCAGGAATGAATACTGGAGACTTGCACGAGTGTCACCGCGCACCCGTGCAACAGCCCTCTGCTCTGGGCTCCAGGCAGGAGGAGAGGGGAGACTTCTGTTCTGCTCAATGCTGCTTTTACTTACCTTCATTTTACACCATTGCAACTCCAAGTCATAGTACTGATGCTGGCACGCGAATAAGTCAGACACGTATGGTTAGAGGTCTGGAGAGCAGGCCGTACGATGCAAGGCTGAGACACGTGGGTCTGTTCAGCCTGGAGAAGAGAAGACTCAGAGGAGACTTGGTGGCAGCCTATAAGTATATAAGGGGTGCATATCAGGGACGGGGAGAACGACTGTTCAGGGCTCCCCAGGGGAAGACTAGGACTAGTAGTCATAAATTGCTAGAAGACCGCTTTAGACGAGACGCAAGGAAAAACTTTACGACTCGAGTGACCGGGGTCTGGACCAGACTCCCCACCAGAGATGGTGCAATCACCTACTGTGGAGATGTTCACACAACATCTGGATGCTCACCTTGCTGGGGTCCTCTGACCCCAGCAGTCTTCCTGCCCAAGAGCAGGGGGGCTGGACCTGACGATCCCGAGAGGTCCCCAACATCTACGAAGCTATGAATTCCTCCCATGTCCAGCAGCCTCTTTCCTCACCTCCCCACTGGAAGGTTACAGACCCTGGCTGGCCGAGGGCAGTACCGACTGCAACGCTGCAGCAGAGTTGCTTTCTCCAAGCTGGTCACACTATGCTGAACACCAAGAAATCGTGGCATGGTTTCATCAGGGTGGATCCTGACTCAAGCAGGGCGTTGGACTAAATGCAACTTCCTGAGGTCCCTTCCGACCCTACTGTTTTATGAATTAATAAAAGCCAAATCAGACTTACCAAGGGGGAGTTTTTGCAGGGTTTATTTGCTAATTAGCTGTTAAGAGGTCTAGCATCCCCTGACACACAGCTTCTATTACAAGCAGAGCTGCACGTGTTTCAGGTCTCAGAGCATGCAAGGCCTCTGGACGTTTGAGGCTTCACCAAGCAGGAGACTGAAGTCCTTCAGCAAACCTATGCATGAGCAGCAAATGAGGAGCTCCTTTTCTCTCAGTACCAACCTTTGGTGGAAGGGATGGGGAAGGGGATTAGAGGGAATTTTGATTTCCTGGCCCAGTCAGTTCTTGGTTTCTCTGCTGAGGCTGCCAACAGCACTAAGGGTTAAAAGTTATCGGTGATGAAACAAAGGGACAATGACCAAAAGCCGACTGATGACAACGATTTTTGGCCAAATCCGTTTGAGCTGGTTTATGGAACTGGACTGGAGGACGAGGTCCGAGTCGCCCCTGCTCTGAGGTTTGATTTATGCATGTTGGTGCAAATTAAAGCCATATATATTTTATATGCATAGAAAACAATGGCAAGGACTGCCCTGTGTGTTCAGCTTGAAAAAAAGCAAGCCGGCAAAGCCAATAAGCATTTACATAGGCAGATCCTAGACTGGTGTGGATCAGTATAGCTCCTCTAATGACTTGCCTGTTCACACTGCCCGAGGACGTGCCAACAAGGCCAGCACAGGAGCAGGGGGAACAGTACTCGAGCACACTGCATTATATTAGCAATGCCATTTTCCTTCTGCAGCTTCCTCTTTCTATTTTTATGACTGGCAAGACTGCATGACAAACTGGCTCCTTTGCCCAGCCACTGTAAAGCTGCCACCAGTCCAAAGACACTAGGAACATGGAAATCTCAGCTGAAATTCCCAACAGATGCACCGTGTTTAATGACGGGTTTGATGTGCAGCTCGGTTAAAAGAAAGACTTGGCCCTAGGAAAACTTGTTAGAGAGAGACAGACCAAAACAGGATCTGACATTGCTTAAAGATGATGTAAGGGGTATCAAACTCCCCCCCCCCCACAATCACCCATCCACTGAACAAGCAGCAATAAATCATCCTGTATGCAGAACAGAAAGGAAAGATTAAGTGGAGTTAGAATTTGATATGTCATTTGTCCGAATACAATTTGCCAAAATCACAAAGAGCACAATACGGCCAACACCACTTTCTTCCAAAATGGCCTGGCTAGCCACCAAGCTTGTACCCGCTTACACATCCCCCCTCCTGGCTACCAAGGAGCATCCCGGTGCCTCCCACATCCTGCACGGTGGAGGACAGAGCCCAGTAGCAAACCAAAGCTCTCAAATTCATTCTCTGGAGGAATGGCACTCTCTCCACAGTCAGGGGCATGAGTATACTGAACAGCCAGCATAAGCATGAACCCAGACACATAAGCAGTGAACGACGGGAGAAAATGATGCTCCCAGGTGAGCAATTATTAATTGGGAAAGGAGAGGTAGGGTTTTAAAAAAAAAATAAAATAAAGGACTCTGTGCCAGACAGATGCAGAAAGCTACTTGCTAAGCGTCGAGGCCAGATTCTGCTCTTGTTTAAGCTGAAGACGGCGCAGCGCTGCCTTGCTCTAAATGAGGCTGTTCGCACCGGGTGCGTCTACACGAGAGGCTTACTGGGCAGTAGCCCAATAACACCGCACAGTAGCATGCCGGTCCAAAACCGTCAGCATATGCTACTGCGCAGTGTTATTAGGCTACTACACAGTAAGCATCACAAAAAACGCTCTGCGCCAGCGCTACTGTGCTGTAACTGTACTAACTAAATGCGCAGTAACTACTAAACTAAATGTGCATCAAGGAGCAACTCGCACAAGACTCACAGACCCACAGGAACAGACTTTCAGCCTCCAAGTTCCCCTGTGCAAAATGAAGTTTATTTTCTACCTAAGGATTTTTACCATCTTGGATTTGACCTCAGCCTGACAAGGTGGGGGTCCAAAAGCTTGCAAAGATAATTTTTTTTGCGATTTCTTAGTTGGTCTAATAAAAGGCATCATCTCTGAACCAAGAGTTTTGCATTTTTGTTTCGGGCTGACATGGCTACCAAATACATCCCAGTAATGACTGCGCCCTAAGGAACGTGTAGACGCGCCCACTGAGTGCAGGCTGGCCGGCTGCTACCCAGCCCGGAGAAGTCAGCAAGCAGCAGCCACCGCTGCCATCGTCCGAATACTTCTCCAACTCGCCGACCGTCACCTTCACATGTCAATAGCAAAGGTTCAGCGATCGCACCCTGGAAAGCACCTCCTCCGCCTTCTGAAATAGGGGTGGTATTCTTGGTAAGCGCCCGCCCCAATCAGATCAGCTCAGGAAGTCAGCTCCCCCGGCATGCTTAAGGACTCCACCGCCTACACAGGACCTTCTGCCCAGAGCAGACTGTTTCCTTCAGTTCCTGAACACCATCCAGAGCAACATACAGTGCCGTCTTCCCCCCCCACCCCCCGCCTTGCACCGTCCCCACGCAGGATTAACATTTCAGAGATTTAGCAAGCACCTGAAGAAATGCAGCAAGCTCCTACCTGCATCGTGGGGCTCCTCGGTTGCTTGCTGGACAGTCTTATGCTAGTGTTTTTAAGGGCCAAAACGAAAGCTTCCCTTTTTAAGGGTTGTTTCATGCACTATCTACCGCATAAGTTCAGACTGCGGGAGGCAGATAGTAGCTGCAAGCGTCCCCTCCCTTCCTTTCCAAGTGACCCGACAGCTCAGGCAGCTCATATCCTGTTGCCTTACTCACATAGGAGCCCTTCAAGTAAATCTCCCAGTGAGTAACAGATTTACAGTAAGGTTGTTGGTCGAAATATTTTCCTTTAGGGAAAACTACTCCACTGTACAAGCATTTTAGATTTAACACGTATACAAAACTCAGCCAAAAGTTATGATCCCTGCACGGCAGGTCACAATTGTGGTGATTTAACCATCCATCCGTGCCCAGGCCAGGCTTGGGCAGCACTTGCAGAGAGAAGAGAAAGTACTTTTTCGCCCAGCCCAGTGAATCGGCAGATATACATGCAAAAAAGTCCAGGAAATTTCAAACCGTTTGCTGTATGAAGGAGCGTGGGAGGAAGGGAAGGATTTCAGGTTAGATCATCATGGGGTAGGGGAGATTTTCAGGTTAGGACGAACAAGTTTTAGAAGGTCTCTGCCAATTCTAACCAGGAAGAGGCAGGGATACCGGAGGTCCTGTTTGAACATGTGAAAGGTATAATCAGAGGGCCCATAACTGATTAGATCCAAAAAATCTTATCATATCTACTGAAGAACTGCACAACTGCCCAAAGAGTCTGAAGCTGGTCATTCAAAGTCAAGAAACACCGACAGAAATAACTTACCCCATTGCCATTTTTTGGCAACTTTTAAATCAGGCGACAGCGTGCGCGAGGACGGACCGTGGCTTTATCTGGCGCGCTGACCACAGCAGAAGCCGACTCGTTCCTCCACTACACAACTACGCTAAACGGAGTAGACCCACAACTCTTCCACGGGGTTTAAAAGCAACACTATGCAAATACAGCAATGAACCTGGCCACAAGGAAGGGACCAAAACCAAGATTCAGTACAGAATATAGACACAGTAATGGAGGCAGCAGAGCCAAAAAAAAGTTCAGAAAGGCAGAAATCTGACCATTCATAATTTTTGTTAAATGATACCTCCACCCAGGTTCATTTCCTGTCTGGCAGGAATTCACTTACTTCTAACTGGAGATATGCCAGTATTTTCCTATAAACTTGTTGCAACTCCTCTAACCTTTATAACCACGCCATTGTCAGTCTGGAGTAGATTTTCCAAGGCACAGACGTTTCCATCTCTTTGTTTAATTCTTGGTAAAAAAAGTTTTATGGCATTTCAAAATTTTGAACAAATAAAAAGAGGAAAGCCTTATTATATTTCCAGTAGCCTGTAAGACTTGCACAACATAAATCAGACAGGGACAGCCATCACTATATGGTTTGTGAACCGAGGAGAGCCAAGGTACTCACTGCTGGCCTAGTACCGCTCCAAGTATCACCCGCTGGGGTCTGCGTGGGTGCACCAGCTGGTAATACAGCAATTAAAAACACAGGGACAAATGTGGCTTTACTCACCGCTGCAATTTCCCGTCTTTCTTTCTAGGAGACACCAATAGCAAATATAATGGAGCTACACCGGAGACCTGTGAACCTGTTCAGCCCCAATGCTCAATCAAACAAAGAGCCCCTTCACGATCAGTCCAGAGTGTCCCCCTCTCCCCTTCAGATCCAAGCAATGACTCTTTGGACAGCCCAAGAGGGAAATCATGAAAACCCCATGCTTGTTCTGGGGTTTCCAAGGAAAGGGGTCTCCTAGGATCAGTACAGTCCTTTGAACCACAAGAATGAAGAACTGCTCCAACTGCATGCAAACAAGGGGAAGTAACACCATGATCTTATGTGCAATTGAAATTTCCCTTTCCTCCTGGAAGGTGACGGCATTGAAACAAATTGTAAAACCGATTTAGTTTTGCTAATAGCAAAAAAATGCCCGACAAAAATCAAACCAGGGTACGGCTAGGAGAGACTTTATGACATAACCTGGGGCAGAACTCCTTGCCACGCACTGTAGCAAAGGGCAACAGCTCCAGCAACCCTACGTCACAAGATTAAGGGCTGCGATACTCCATTCATGCTGGATCTGTGGATGCGTTGCACAGACAGCAGGACCCCCATGATATAGTGAGAGTTGTTTAAAACTCTCGCACGCTGCCGGGATGGATAGAGAGCTCGCGGGACAGTAAACGTATCATAGCCGCTCTACGCCAGGCTCTCAAGTTTGGATCAAGACCGAGTAACAAGCGGTTGTGGAGCGTTCTTGCAAGGTGGAGGGGGAGAGCTTAGCTCAAATGTTAACTGTTAATATAACTTTCCTTTCAAAACCAAAAAAAAAAAAAAAGAAAGAAAGTGTTGATTGCTGTACTTGTGATTGTTACTTAAGGCCATGTACAAAGAGGATTTTTAAATCAACCAACATTTGCATCCCCTGGTAGGTTAGACGCATGTACATTCGGGAAAGCTGAATTAACTCCTGTTGTGTGTTAGTGACTGTTTCGTGGCTACGTGGGAAGGCAGAGCTAAGCTGCGGCTGGCTTCGCAGAGGCAAAATTAAGCTGGCAGACTGGCTCACGACACTGGAAGATGGACAGGTGTGCTATGAGAACGCGTGTTTCTAGGGCAAGAAACAGCAGGTGGTGGCCTCCCGCACTCTGAACATTTGTCCCTTCGTGGTACAAATGATCCACCTTTTGGAAACCTGTGAGCAAACAGGATTTTTGCTCTCCTTTAACCTGGCTCTGTCCCTCGTCGAAGGATTCAAGAGGCAAAATGCCCAATTAAAATGATATACATATGCCTTGCAGCCGATTTCAGAAGACATGGGTCACTGTACTGTTCTCAGTAGCCACGGGTAATACGATTTTAGGGGAATAGCATAGTTTTATCAACTCTAAACTCTTTTTCCAAGTAGCAGTTAGGTTGGATCACACTTCTCCAGCATAATGGGCATCTTTATACATGCTGGGGGGAAGGGCATTTTAATTAGAGCGGCTCTTGGGAGCCACTCGACTGAAAACACCCGCAGCATCCCATATATTCAGCATCCCGCATTTCAAAATGGAAGCAGGGGGCGCTTTGATTAAAGCTTGTTTGACGAGCTTTAGTTAAGTCAAAGCACCCCCGCTACCATTTAGACCCTGAATACCTGGTGCGGAGGCTGCTGGAACACCTTAATTAGACTTGATTAATTGAGTTTGTGCCCACGCATTCCCATTAGAACGTCGGGGCAGGTGTTGGGCACCCGTATAGATGCCCACAGTCTTCATTTTAAGCTCATCTAGTCCAGCGGTTCTCAACCTTTTTTGTACCAGGACCCACTTTTAAACGTTGAGAGCCAGTCCCGCCCAGGCCCCAGCCCCCAGTGTATGGGGCAGGGGGTGGGTGTATGGGGGGACCCCAAGCAGCCCCTCGGAGGCTGGAACTCTGCCAGCCTGCAAAAGGAAAGCCACGGTTTCCCGTTTTTCCCCCTTTAAAAGAGAATCCATTTGTTAAGTTTGTTCGTGACCCTTTCATATATTCTTGTGACCCATTTCGGGTTGAGAAACACTGATCTAGTCAATACGGTCCAATACCACAGGCTCATACATTGCTCAGACTGGAACTAGTCTCCTTATACAGACCAGGCTCAGAAAGAGACCAGCAGCAAGGTCCACCCCTTTACGTCACAGGGACAGTCCTTCCTCTCTCCTTGGTTCATAGGGCTTTGCATGATATTGTGTGTTTCTCCCCAAAAGAAAAAATATCCCTGTGTCGCCTGCTCTTCTCCTTCCCCTTTATAATCACCACAAATGCATGAGGTCAGTGCTGTATATCTTTAGGCAGAGTTTTACAGAAGTACCACCAGGCCTATAACAATTTCTGTAGCAATTAATATCAGACTTCCTACCAAACAATTCAATATGAAGAGTCCAAAAGCAGCAGCACCAATGGGAAACTGCAACTGGGACAGGAAAACTGAAGGTGGCTTGCAGTGCGGCATTTGGGCTGCTTTAATGTTCTGGTTTCCACGCATCCTAGGAAGGCAATATACCCATCCAAATATAGCCACGGTACAATGGCACATGCCCCAAATTCACTCCCTATATCAAGAGCTGGAAGCTGCAATGGAGCATCACCTTTATACCAGCCGGGGAGGCTACCAGCACAGGATGTACTCTGAGCACCACCTTTGCGCACACTTACAGACCCATTTATGCTGCCAGAGTGAAGGCACCTTATGGCTTGAATACATAAAGAAAATTTGCACCAATGTACCACGTAATTAATGACATCACTGAAAACCCCTCCCGTGGGCTCTCTGCAACAGTGCAAGGTAGGGCGTCTGCTGGTATCACTTGGCTCATGACTGCCCAGCTTGTGGCACACGTACAAGTGGCACAGCCAGCCTGTGTGTGGTATGAAGGAGATCGGGGAAGGGGGCCGGGAACACAGCAACAGATAAAGCAGAGAGCAGTAGATCAGGCAGGGAGCGCAGGGCATGAAGCTGAAAGCAGAGCGGCAGTGGAAGGGGCTGGAGTGGCACTGGGGGAGGGTTTACCTTGTGGCACAACTGTGGCATAAAGGCTGGTCCTTATTAACCCTTCTGCCCGCCCTGCTTTGCAGCACATGCAGCTCATCTGCATGAAGACCTTTTGCCACTAACTAATTGGATGTTTTTAAGCATGGACAACTTAGGAGAAGCACAAGTCAAGCACATTTCTACAAAGCTACTGTTCGAAGTGCGCACGTACAGTCTCCGCAGCGTCCGCTTTTTTCCGGCGGATCCAACAAACAGCGACCTCTCCTGCCCCCGGCGCATCTCAGATATGCAGCAAGGAAGAAAGCAGCAATTTTATCCAGGGTCCCCTGTCATTTCATCAGCAGCAGGGTGGTGTTTTTAGCACAGCAGGAGCTCTGGAGGGAGGTTCAGACACACTCACAACAAAAATCTCACATAATTGCCTCCAAGGGCCATAGAGAATGAAGGTAAACACCCAGCTGACGGTGCGTTCTTTACTGAAAGCATTAGC